GACTGGTAGCACTGGGTTAAGTGGCAGACAGTTGGATAACCAACTGGTATGGTTCAAATGGAAAAAAAGTAGGGTTTGATTTGCTGCAATCCACTGCGGTTCCGAGCTTATGTGTCCAAAATCACGTCTTTACTGACAGCGATGTTTGTGCCAGTTGCTGGTCCTACGCGTGCAGTGTTCACGTGTAGAGCACTGGCTATTTAATGGCCCAATATCTGCGGTGCAAGTGCTCTAGACAGTGCCTTGGTGCACACCTCCAGTCTTGGTGCCACCAGGAGGAAAATTGCTTCTTGCCACCATATACTGCTCAAGTCCAAATAGAGATGCAAATCTGCATCCAAAATAATTACAGTTCGCTAATTCACTAATATATTTTCTAATATTTTTCACTAATATATTAGGATAGCTGAGCAGTTTAGGAATCAGTTCTGGAGAGAAAACATCTGCAAAGCTTGAGCTGTCCGTGAAGGACTTGACGCAGGTAATACCACAGCAGAAAGCTACATAACTCCTCGTGTCTGTGTTCACAGCTGAGGAATTTGGGGGTTTCCCTCACCAGATCATGGTCACAATTTTGAGGAGCTGTCTCAAGTTCAAGCTACAGCAAAAGAGTTTCAGAGCAAATCACTGAAATGACCAGTGGCAGGTCAATGCAACCAGGCGGTGGTCGGCTTCGGGTATGAAAAGAACTTCAATTGGAAATTGCTTGCACACTAGCATCGCGGGTAAGCTGTGATGGGTAAATTGGCCCTGCTACTGAAGGAATGAAAAATGGGCTGCTTCTGTGCTTAAGGTACCTCCAAGATGATCCAGCAGAATTATAGACAAGTTAGGTCTGATATTTTATGCTGCAGATTGCTGGAGTTATCAGAAGTTGGTAGACACACATAGAATACAGTATTTCAGAGAAGAGTTGATGTGACTTTAGCAGAGGAAACTCGTGTCTTGCACACATAATATAGTTTTCTGAAGAGAGTGGATGCATAAAAGGGAGCAAGGCGCTGTGGAATAAGAGGAAAGTTTCTCTTCTGAATGAATAGCTGGTTACAGATAGGAAATAAAAGGTACAAATAACTGGGCAGTTTTCGCGGTGAAGGGAGATTACCAATTACCTGCCGCGGGAACCTGTGCAGTTCAATATACTCATAAAAGAGCTGGAAAAGGGATACTGACGATAGTGACGTGCCAAAATCTGCTGATGGTATAGAGTTATTCCAGGTAAGCAAAAGTAGACACGACTACAAAAAGTTGCAGAAGAATCTGACGATATCAAATGTCTGGGCAATAAAATAGCTGCTGAAATTCCATGTTGATAAAAGTCAAGTGCAGACACAATGATAGGGTTTAAATTATCCCACGAAAGAGGTCCTGGCATTGCAGATGGTTCTTTGAAAATGTCTGCTCGGCGCTCAGCAGAGGTCAGAAAGGCAAGTGGAATGCTAAGAATTGCTGGGGGAAGAGATGGAGAATAAAAGAGAAAATGTAAGTACACCACTGAATAAATCCGTGGTGATCTTGAATAGAGTGCAATTCCAGTCACCCCCTTCTCAATGCAGCAGTAAAATAGAACTAGAAAAGATGCAGAAAAGGGTGAGAAGGCTGACCTGAGTTATGAAGCGGGGAGTCTAAGCCTGTGAAGCTTGCTGAAGAAATGAATGAGCAGGATTAAGGCAGAGGTGTAAAATCAAGATGGCTATGGAGAGAACGAATAAGGAATTACTTTTTTTAGCAGAGGATGTAATGACATGGTCAGGCAAGAGGTTTAAAGCAAACAACAGGAAAAAACTTTCACAGGCTATAATAAGTTAGGAAGCTCATCAAACACAGAATCTTTTACATGCTGAAAGTACAGGTTGTTTAAAAAAGTCGCAGTGCTGAGGTTCCCAGCAGCTATCCCAGTGTACCGACTTGGCCACATCCCCTCTGCCCGCTACAGCTGGGTGAGATGTGGGGTCTGGTTTGGTTTGGCCGCTCGCCAGTAGAACCTGCCAGGTTTTTTGGGCTGGATTATAATCAGTTAACGGATCACTGTGATCTTCTAGCGTGATCTCTCCTGTGACAAAAGCCACAGAAGTCCCTTGAATGAATTAATGAATTAATTTTCTCTGAATTGCAGTGGAATGTTGGGGGGAAAAAGATCCAATAGTACCTTAAAAATTTCCTGCACTGAGTAAAAGGTCCCAAGGGTTAATTACACTCTCCCTAATTTGGTCCTTCCCATTTCCGCATGCAAAGGCTGCAGTAGCCCGTTTGGCTGCAGCATGGTAACGGGAGGTCACGTCGGATGGCTCAGGAATTTTGAGACAGCGAGGACTAAAAAGTCTGCTAGAGCAGGATTATCATCAAATTATATCTGCCTCGGCAGCAGGAAATCAATCAAGAGTGGGCTGATTTACACCTGCCGGAGCCAGCACATCATGAACTTCATCATCTTTCCCAGTGATGTTTTTATCTTTGCATCGACACAGTCAGTGCGAGGAAAATATTTTCCCGTTTAAAATCAAAACATTCAAGGTAGTGTTTGGCAGAGTGTTGGAGCCTGGGGTTCCCGCTGCTTCTGACAGCAGTGCTGGTATCTTTTGCTAATGACCAAAGTGCAATATAATGAGTTGTCTTGGGCTTCTGCTTTATTCAGCGTGCAGTGTTTTAATAGACTGTTAGTAATTCTGAAAGGGATAAATGATGTTTATGCCCTCTTGTGGTATGTTATTGAACAGAATGGATTTTCTAACTGCCAAATTAGGCCAATGATGGAAAAGTCCCAGGTAAAAATCTGTAACGAATACTGTTTTGCACAGTAGAAAAATATCCATCCCTCCAGCAGCATCCTCATGACTCAGTTAAGGGGGGGGGAAGCCAATTTTGCACGCATTTACAGCAGCAAGTAAATGACTAATGCCCATGATGACAGAGTTTGTGCCATCTTTCTGGAGTGAAGATAATTTTAAAAGTGCTTTTCTTTGCTAGGAAGGTTAGAAAGTAAGTGAAATACCGCTTTCTAAAAGTGGTTGTGTTGACACCTCTTTGTGTTAGTTGTTGCCGACGTGTTGTGATACATACCTTCACATTTTTTATCTTCGTTCACGCGTCTGATGGGTAAATAGTCTGATTCCCTTGGGACAAAGCCTGTCCCAAAGATGAAGAACACTGTTTGGTGATTTTACATGGGGAAATAAGGCCAGATTCATGTGAAACCTGCCGTGTTCAAATGGCTTAACTGGTCAACATCTTCCTAACCTGCGCTGAGAATTTAGAAGTAGGGTTGGGAACCCAGGGGCTCCCCAGACAGGTCAATCACAGATTTTGTTTCAATCTTATTACTTCATTCCTGACTGAAAACTGAATGTATCCTCCAGACAGTGGAATTACCAGAATAAATCAGACTAATGCTCTACAAAGTCCAGCAACTGGTCAGACTGTGGTCAGTACTTAGCTGTGCTGAGGCAGGATCTAGGAAACCCTGTTGTAGGAAATTTGAAGACTTTTTGGTCCCAAATAATCACCTATTACTTAACTGTAAGCTAGTGCTGTGAGGAAACATTATTTCCATTACATGTGATCTTTCTCTCTGCCCAGCCACCAAGTATGTAGAAGACTATTGTAAAGAGGAAGGGAATGATTTCCTTTCCACATCCATGATGAGTACGACCACAATAGTGGGTTTAAATGAAAATAGTGGGCTTAACTGGGCTAGGCTTTAGGAAGAACTCTCTAACAGGATGGTAAATATTGGAATGGACTCCTTGAAGAAACTGGAGGATCTCCATCTCCGAGGATCTTTCAGGAACAGTGAAACAAATGTTTGCTGGGAGTAAGGCAGCTTTCATTCGTCGTATCATGATGAAAGAAGTTGGACTCGATGACTCACTACAGGTCTACCAGCTCTGGTTCTGTGGTTCTGTGTGATGATTTCCTTTTATTTATTAGTATGATGAGAGAACACATATTTATCTGGTAATCTCAAATGCTAACCCTTCATTCTTACAGTTGATCTTACTGTCGAGTCTGGCTGATAGCAATGCAATTCTATCTATGTCCAGTACTTTACAAGTATACTTTGCAACAGTAGTCTGACACCAATTAAAGTGCTTATTAGGTTATCATGGACTTCAGTGAGCACAAGTTATGTCCCCACTGAGATGAGAATTGGCTGCAAAATGTTGGTGCTTACCAGTTTCCTTAGAAAAGGAAAATTCAGTAAGAAAGGTGTCATGGCAAATCATGTTAAAAAGAAATTTCCTCTGTCAGAAACCTTTCAGGAGTTTCAAATTCAGTTAGGGGATATCAGAAAGAAATTAAAGTCTAATTTAAAATCCCCACCCACATTCCTTCTTCTTTTCCTGCAAAGTGATTATTGCTCCTGGTCCACGTATTGGCAAATCTTTCAGAAATGAGCCATAATTTGCCTTAAAAATACCTTTCTGGTCATGATGGAACTGTTCTTTTTGAAGAATGGGTTTGCAGCGACTCTGTGAAAAGAGCCCAAATGCTCTTATTTCTCATTGACATCAGTGGGGCTAAAATTTCACCCAGAAGTTCTTCTTGGCATAAGGAAATTCAGGGTGGGTAGCACCATTTCAAAGCTGAGGCACCTGCCAGGTGAAGTTCTTGGACACTGCAAGGCAGCCGGCCAGGCTTGATCACAGTGTGCTCTGCTGCCTTTCACATTTGTTTTCCACTTTCGTTGATGGCACCACATCTCTACCTGGCGTGGTTAATAAAGAGGAGAGAACGAATGTGTGGCCATAGCAAATTAAACAAATGAGCCATTAAAACAGGAGGGTGCACTATCTCTTCTCACCAACGCCTACTTTGGTGCCCACAATGTCTCCTAGCAAAATAACGTGAGAGCAAGGATAAAAGGGCTTTCAGGGATGTGCTGTAGCTGTGGTCCAAGCGCTGGGAGATGTCTGTGGCTCCTGCTGAGAGAAAACCTAACGTCATTCATCAGCAGAGAAGCCAGCAAACCACTAATGGCTTTCCATCGTGTTTCTTGACAGGTATTGACGGAGGGCGGTTTTGGTCCCATCACAACAGAAATCCGGGAGGCTCCGGAGTTTTATTACGCCGAAGATTACCATCAGCAGTACCTCAGTAAGAACCCCGACGGATACTGCGGCCTCGGGGGAACAGGGCTTTCCTGCCCTATTGGGATCAAGAAATAGCCTGTGCTTACTCCACTGCCTCCACTTTGGTTTAAGGAGTTGTTTGAAAAAAGACCGACGACCCTGATAGGTGTTATGGTATACCCGCAGCGTCAGTGCATAAAGATTTGGGATCCTGTTGGGGCGGCTTTCCGTAATCTGAGCAGTTTCCCATTCACCGACATTAAAAGCCAAAGTAGAGGCAGAAATCGCACCTGTTGGCAAATGCAGCTTCTTGCTCTGTGCCGCTCACTGGGTATCCTTGCAGTCTTGTGATCTGGAGAGAAAAGCAACTTCTAAAAATTTCGTTAGAAGTGCTGTTAAAAAGATGAATTAGGGGGTGGTTGCACCTGCTAACTGCTTTGCATAGTTAATGCCTTCGGACGTTTATTTTCTTGGGTTAATGAATTTGCTCGTGTTATGAGAGCTTTGACTTCTGGAGACGTGGTTGAGCTCATCTTAACCATCACAACCCTGTAATTTGATGCCTTTGAGAATGGTGAGTTTATAAGGTCAGTAACTTTCTCACAGTTCCACTTTCGCAGCAACATGTAATATCACCTATAGTGCCTATTTTCTGAAACAATTTTAGTAAGAAAAAGTAAAAATTGTACTGTGATACTTCTTTTTGACAGTTCCAAAAAGTGTATAAACACAAAAAGAAATCAATTTTGTTTCCTGCACTGCAATAAATTACAAAAAAAGAAAAGAAAAATGTTGTCTGCAATGTGTTCCACGGCCTTAAGTATATATCGAGGTAGATCTAAAAAAAGTATCAAATATTATAAAAGGCTGCAGCCTGCTAATTAAACACCAGGGCTTTTAAATCTGTATTATCGTGCATGACAGTACAGAGGAGTAGAATTCATATTGGCCGCACTGTAACATACTTATTCCTATAATTAATTATTTGTACTTCAGGAGCTTGTGGAGCCCCCACCAAGACCAGAGATCATTGCGGCAGGTGCTGTGCAAACGTGATGTCGGGCAGCCTCCGCCCCAGTGCGTGTACAGTCAAAATAGCAGGACAGCCAGAAAAAGGCAAAATAAATTTTCATTTTATTCATGGGGTTCTCAGAGTGGAGACTAAAAGCTACAGCCAAAGGATGTAGGGGATGAAGGGGTTATCCTGTATGGATATGGGATCCTATGGATTGTATGTATGCTATGGAGTATCCTAGGACAAACAGCTTCAGTAGGAGAGATGGGGATGGGTTTGTCCCACCCCAACTTGCTGGTTTCAACACTTCCAAGAGCAGTGGGAGGTGTGGGCTTGAGCCTCTCATGTGTTTCTTATTTTGGAGGCTCTTAATCACAAAGTCTGAAGAACATGTGTCATTGGTGTGTCCTCTTGCAGATGTGCTTTCTTCAGGGAAAGCTTGTAGGAGCCCACCTTGATGTGTCAATTCTGGCCAGCAGAGCACATAAAGCCATTTCTGAAGGCCACATGGTAGGGACCCAGAGACACAAATCCACAGCATTTCCTCTTGGATAGCTCTCCACGGCACTCCTCTCCATATCTTGGTTTGACGTTTCCTGCTCACCAGCTCAGGTTTTAGGCTCAGAAAGACCCAAACAGCTCCATGAACATCTCCTGTAACTACCCAGCAGACCAGTTCCTGTTCCAAGTTAGGAGTGACTGAAAATGTGCATCAGATAGTCCGCCTCTGGGCTTGTAAATCCACTGCTGAAGTCCTGCCTGCTTTATCCAAAGACAGGCAGTAAGTCCATGCCAGAGAAATTAGCTCCCCATCTTCCCTTGCTCCTCAGCTGATGCTTAGTTCATTCCAATCTCAAAAGTCAGAGGAAACCTGTCCTTTTTATATAAACCTGCTGATTTATACCTGGGGCAAGCTTGAGAGGAGCTGCCTCTGGCGGGATTGCCATGTTAGGCTCTTTCTGGAGATGCCCCAAACTGTGCCCACATCACACTCGGGATTTCCAGTTGCTGTGGTAACTGATCGCCTGTCCTTAACGTGTTGTGCCACTGAATTGTTCTAGTGCTCACTGTCAAGGAAACCGGCACTTTCGTCTAATTTCCTAAGCATGAGGTGACATAAAAGCAAAGAAGAGAGGAAAATAAAGTCTTACTTTCATCCTATTCATTTTTAACCTCTGTGTAATTCAGACTTCAGTGGGATCACTCCTGATTTGCTCCAATGGCAAAACATTTCATATGCTGAATCATTCAGGTGCTCATAAAATGTTGCTTGGTTCCTTTCCCCTCCCTCCCCTCCTACTCCATGCCATAGTTATTGTTTTGAAACAAGCTGGAAAGTCTTTGGAGAAAGCACCGTTCTGTCCTTAATATAGCTGGGCTCAAGTCTGAACCTGGCTGAGGTTTTTTTAAGTCCTGCCCTGACAGAAATAATGTGTCAGTTTAGAAATCAGCATAGATGGGTCCATTGATGCTAAAATTGGCCCACACCAAAATATTATGCTGCCACAGAATTAATTATGGAGTTACTGTAGGGTGCATTTTTGGCCTTGACCCCTTGCAGTTGCTGCTGAAGGTACAAAGAGTATCAGGGATATAATCAGTAAAGGTGAAATGCTAATGATTCAGCCTCATGGATTAGTTTTTTAAGCTGGATTTGGTCTTGTAAGCCACCCTTGCCCCTAGGGCAAGAAGAAGGGAGTGGCTGCCTCAACATCGTTGATACTATACTTTTGATTTGGCACTGTTTGAAATTTACCCTACCACAGAGCTGCCTCTTTCTTCCGAGAACATAGACACGGTCTAAATTAAGAAGAGAAAATTAATTCAGAGTTCAGTAGGCTTCAGCACTTCTTGGAGTTGAAGATGAAAGCTGATGCAGGACCAGCATCTAGGGTCTTCGGAGAGAAGAACATGGTTCAAGATCCAAAAAAGGCTACAGCACCCAACTCATGAAGTCAACTATGGCAATACCTGGTGAAAGTCAGTTCAGGATACAGACAGGAATTTCACTGCTGCCCTATCCTTGTCATAGCTAAAGCACATCCCCAGCCTCTTGGAAATCACTGAGCTTTCCCTCGTCGCCTTAGGAAGGACAGTGTCCAACTGTGATGTCAACAGAAACAAATGGATTGTGCGATGTCACATCCTGGTTGCCCCGGCAGAGAGATGTGTTGCCTTTGAAGAGAACATGGAATGGGGAAGATGTCCTGAGGTGTCTACAGAAGCATCACTGCTCTGAACGTTGTCGAAGAGCGTTGGTCCAAGACTGGGATTGAAATGCTTCTCCTTACCCTCTTTTGTTTAACTTCTCTGATCAGCAGCATCAATGCGGGTTTTTCTTCCCGAAGTTTTATGTTCAGAAATGACCAGCAGAGTGGAACAGCCAGTAGCCCTACAGGATATAAACGTATCGGTAAATGAAAAAGGCCTGAGCATATTCCTTGTACCTGATGGCATATACGTACGTGTCCTGGTTTCGGCAGGGATAGAGTTAATTTCCTTCCTAGTAGCTGGTACAGTGCTGTGTTTTGGATTTAGGATGGGAACAATATTGATAAGGCACCGATGTTTTAGTTGTTGCTAGGTAATGCTTACACTAGTCAAGGACTTTTCAGTTTCTCGTGCTCTACCGACTGAGAAGGCTGGAGGTGCACAAGAAGCTGGGAGGGGACACAGCCAGGACAGCTGACCCAAACTGGCCAAAGGGACATTCCACACCATGTGACGTCATGCTCAGTATATAAAGCTGGGGGAAGAAGAAGGAAGGGGAGGACGTTTGGAGTGATGGTGTTTGTCTTCCCAAGTAACTATTACGCGTGATCGAGCCCTGCTTTCCTGGAGATGGCTGAACACCTGCCTGCCCATGGGAAGTAGTGAATGAATTCCTGGTTTTGCTTTGCTTGCGTGTGCGGCTTTTGCTTTACCTATTAAACTGTCCTTATCTCAACCCACGAGTTTTCTCACTTTCACCCTTCCAATTCTCTCCCCCATCCCACTGCGGGGGGAGTGAGCGAGCGGCTGCGTGGTGCTCAGTTGCCAACTGAGGTTAAACCATGACAGTACAGCTTGTACTACAGCCTGATACTGAACTCTTCCACTCATGCTCCCTAAACAAGGATTTTACCCAGCCTGCCTATGGGAAACGGTCTATGGCCCTGCTAGCCCCCAAACTGCCTGGGCATTGCTTGGCAGAGCGCAGGTTTGGAGAGGCTACAGTGCTGCCAGGGGCTTTGGTAGAGATCAAGTAGCATAGATAATTATAGACCAGTGCTTTAGCCGATGTCCTGCCCCTCTAGTTTAGTAGCACAGGCAGTGGCACTTCTGTACGTGAGCAACGTGTCTCATTTCGTACCCAGAGTGTGGCCTCCGACCATCTTACGAGTCCTTTCTGGAGACTGGCAAGAGGATCACAGCGGGGAGATACGCCAGGGCTGGGGAGTTCCCATGGCACGTGAGCATCCAGAGCAACGGGAAACATATCTGCGGAGGCACCATGATCAGCGCATTGTGGATTTTAACTGCGGCCCATTGCTTTGCAGAAGAGGTGTGAGTACTCGGGGGAAGCAAGGGCAGCCCAGGCACAATGGATTCATAACATCGCTCCTTGTGGGTGTAGGATATGTATGTCCTTGGGGTCAAGTGCAACATATATGTGACTGAGCCAGAAAGAGAGCCCTGAAAACAGGAATTGTCTCCTTTGGGGAAAACAGGCCCATTTTTGATCAGAGGTAGTGTTACAACAGAAATGTGCAGAAATCTGCATAGCCAGGAGATGCAGAAAGGGAATATTTTGAAGGATGGGCTGAGCAGTGTTGTATAAATGCCTGTGATGCTCTTCTGATGGCCCCAGGCATTTCCTGTACATCTACACACGCTGCGGTACCTTGTAAAAAGAGGCGTATTCCATTCCAGCTTATTCTAACCCCCAAATTACCTTTGCTTTCATGCAGCAAACACCTTTACCTCATGGAGAATGTGATTTTAAAACAGCAGTTTCTGGATAAATCAACCCCGTGCAATGTCTAGGGGCAGAGTCCAGCCCTCTGTGAGCCCCCTCCAAAATTCGGCAGGTCTGAGAGCCGAGACTGCTTGGTGACAAATGACCTGTGGCATCACAACCTGGAGCAGCTGGCTGGGGGCAGCGCGGTCCAGAGCAGCCAGCCCAGGGCACAGCCAGCCCGAAGATCCAGCCCACTCCATCTGTTCGTTAGCGACCGGGCTATTTATAACTTGGTTGCATTCATGTTCTACCTCTGCACCTCTCCCCCCTGAAAATCAGCTTTGCCTAGAAGTGAGGGTAGATTTCTGCGATATTTATAGCTAACCTGCCTCTGCAATTTGCTGGGCACCACCCTACCCCGCTCAGGGGGGAGGAGGCACCAACCTTTATAACACAAAGCCTTCATGTTTGCTTATGCCTACACTGCTTCTATTTTGTTTATAAGGCCACCAGATCTCACTGTTGTAGTGGGGGGAATTGACCTCAACCTCCCGCTGGAAGAACATAAGCCGGACAGCTTGATCCTCCACGAAAACTTTGACAGAATGAGCATGGAAAATGATATCGCTCTGATCCTGCTCAGCTCTCCCATCGAGTTCAGCAATGAGAAAATCCCCATCTGCTTGCCCTTCATATACGACATTGATACGTGGCAACACTGCTGGGTTGCTGGGTGGGGAACCCCAAGTGCAGGTGAGATGCTGTCAGGAGATGTATTTGCTAATGGAGGCTGGATTTACCCATTTAAAGTAGATCTTCTCTCCCAGGAGGGGTTACCCACACTAACTTCCACTCCCTACCTCCCTGGTAAACACATCCAGACCCTCGCAGCCTCTGCACAGCCAGCGGTTCTTTGTTCAGTGCAAGAACCAGTCACCTGCTGACCCACAGAGCAAAGGCCCTGGTACTCGGAGCACATATGTTCAAGCTGAAACCTTAGAGCCCACCTTTGCTCTGCAGGAACTCAACCTCTTGCTTGCTTTTTTTGGCACCCAAAGTAAGACAAGCTGGTCTTACCCTGGTGGGCAGGTTAGGCTGGATCTAAAGTGGTCTGGAATAAGGGAAATGGAGGCCTAGGGTTGTCTTTGGCTTAATGCCTCCATGAACCAGATTGATTCAATGGTACTGGCTACCCCTCTTCTTCACTCATTTAGAACAGCAGATTGCTATTGCTAATTGCTCTCGTTTAAGCCCTAATGAAAGTAGCTCCAGCACTGATTGTGACCCAAACTGTCTATCCTGAACAAATGTCACTAAACAGCTAATAAGCGATTTCATTATTGGAAAGCGGTAATCGGGACGGCGTGGGCAGGGTGGTGCCTTGGGGCTTTAACAGTCCTTCCTGGGACGTAGTAAGTGAATGTCCCATTTAATCCTTGCTATTCTGCTCTGTAGGGTTACTGTCTCCTCCCTGAAACTGCATTTTCCTTCTTGGGCTTCATTTGCCTCACCTAACAGCAATACACAACACAACACTGTGTTATAGTTGTGAAACTCTCCCATTTCACCAAGGTAACGTGCTCTTAGAAACAGAAAAGCAGGGGGCTGCTGCAGACTCACTCTGCAGCTTGGCAGCCCTGTAGCTAGTCTCTTTGCAAAAAGCGTGGTGTGGCTGCGGAGATCGGTCTCATCCTGCTCTGTGGGCTCAGTTGACATCGCCGCTGCTCTCCAAGTTGCACCCTGCGGGAGGTCAGTGCAGTCAGCCCTGGCACACACCCCTTCTGTCTGGGAGACGTCTCAGAAGAAAAGCAGCAGAAGCTGAGTTTGGTGAGAGGGCTGTGCAGTGGTGTGATATGGGCCATGCCAAAAAGTAAGAGGCATTGTTCCTTGGCGGGGGAAAATGGGTCATTTTTCATCTCTATCAGCATTTTGTAGGTGGACGTATCTCAGCTGGCACCTCAGGCGGCACTAGCCTAACTCCCCTTCAAATATGAGCCGGCAGTGTGCCCAGGTGGCCAAGAAGGCCAATGGCATCCTGGCCTGTATCAGAAATAGTGTGGCCAGCAGGAGCAGGGAAGTGATAGTGCCCCTGTACTCGGCCCTGGTGAGGCCGCACCTCGAATCCTGTGTTCAGTTTTGGGCCCCTCACTACAAGAAGGACGTTGAGGTGCTGGAGCGTGTCCAGAGAAGGGCAACGAGGCTGGTGAGGGGTCTGGAGAACAAGTCTGATGAGGAGCGGCTGAGGGAGCTGGGGTTGTTTAGCCTGGAGAAAAGGAGGCTGAGGGGAGACCTCATCGCTCTCTACAACCACCTGAAAGGAGGCTGTAGCGAGGTGGGGGTCGGTCTCTTCTCCCAAGTAACTGGCGAAAGGACAAGAGGAAATGGCCTCAAGTTGCGCCGGGGGAGGTTTAGATTGGACGTGAGGAAAAATGTCTTTACTGAAAGAGTGGTTAAACCTTGGACCAGGCTGCCCAGGAACGTGGTTGAGTCACCATGCCTGGAGGCGTTTAAAAGACGTGTAGATGTGGTGTTTAGGGACATGGTTTAGTGGTGGACTTGGCAGTGTTAGTAGGTTAACGGTTGGACTTGATGATCTTAAAGGTCTTTTCCAACCTAAATGATTCCATGATTCTATGACTGCAGTCAATTAGACCTCAAGTGGAGCCACCTCCTTGGAGATGCCTACATCAAAGCATTTTAATCTGTGGTTGCTTCCATGGAGTGGCCTCATCTTAGCTGGGAAAGGGACCTGACAACTTTCTGTCTTTTAGATCTTACCTTTGAGTCCCACCTTCCTGAAGGTGCTGGGAGGATTTAGCTCAGTGAAATATGGAAGAAGGAATGAGTTTCTGAAAATCTGTAGGTCTCCTTCCCAGCAGCAACATCCTCCAAAAGTCAGTTTTATCCTTCAGACTCAGATTCACTTTGAAGAGAAATATGGATGAAATGAGTGGGTTTTCCAAGTAGCCCTAAATATTTTCAGTCGTTTTGTCACTTGCTGGTGCCTGCTGCGATTTCTTGTTTTTTCCATCTCAAGGGAAGAATAAAGCAGTTATTTCCATGGTGTACTGCCATCCTGAGGGCCACTTTGTGGAAGATATAGCTGGTCCCCTGGGTGAGGCACGGCTTCACAGTCCCCTGTGAAAGCATGGGGATAAGAAGTTCATCTATTCTGGGGAAAGCTCAGTGGACTTTCCTCTGCAGGGCTCTCACAGGACCCCATGAAGAGTCCCTCAAGCTGAGTTCCCCAGAAACGCAAGTGAGAAACCTGAGGTGTACAGTGCAGCTCATCTCAGGTCATCACCAAGACCATCCCTTCGGGGTCTTCCAGCTGTACTGCATCCAAGAGTTCAGCTATAAAAATGATTTTTAAAAATCCTATTTAGCAAGCCTCCACTCCCCAGGATTTCAGCTTTGCCTGTTAACACCTCACCCCTCTCTACCTACCTACCGACCTCCTAGGCTGGCATAAAGTCAAGAGCACAAACTTATCTTTGCTAACGTTTGGACAGCCCCTGTAAGCCCCTATGACCCCCAGAACATACAGTTGTGCCCTGAGACCCTCTTGCCCTGAGATGCCTTACAAATTCAGCTGGGAGCAGTCCCAAGGGCTAGTCTCTCTCTCTGTGTTTTCACCCTTACAAGTCTGCGCTGTTCTGCAGGGTTTGTTAATCATTCTCTTCTCGCTTGCTGGGTAGCGGTTGCGGTGCCAACATCCCACGTGCTGCAGAAAGCGCGGATGAAGCTCATCAGCAGGGAGCAGTGCTTGGAGCGGATCCCACAGCTAGTGGAGAACGAGCTGTGTGCTGAGCTGGAGGGAGGAGAAAGAGGTGCCTGCCAGGTAAAGTAAACAGGCTCCCGGACGGCCACGCTGCCTACAGGGGCACAGAAACATTGGAGGAGAAGCTCCTTCACTTCAGGAATGAACATCGATCCTTCCCGTGGCTTCCTGGGGTTGCTAAAGCTTCCCTGCAGGAGGCCGGGGCAGGATGCCCAGGGGCCGAGGAACTGCCTGCAAAGGCATATTGACCCGGGCAGCAGGACTCTTGGGGTCTGAAAGCAGTGGTGGTGCTGGAAACGAAACACCCTGTTGAGCAGATGGGGCTCTCCTCACACTCTCCCCCCTGCCCCGATTCCCTTCCTGCAGAGAGAGAAACAGGAGCTCTGCAAGGGAAACCACGAGCTGAAAGGAGGGCAAGGGAAAAGGGTGGTTCCCAACAAGTCCCCTTGGATGGGAGACAGTTTTGGATGGCTCTGGGCAGAGGAATTTTGACTTTTATCTCACAGCAAGTTAAAAACCCAGTGTCTGCTGTGGCCAAGCTGCACAGTGGTGGGAGCGATGGGAGGAGAGGTCTCATATCCCTGCGGAGAGGGCTCGGCACAGCATGGGCTGTGTCCTCCTCCTGCCCGGTGTCCCCCTCAGCCCTGGGCTGAGCAGTGCTGCTCTATTACCAGGTTAAATACTGAAAGGAGACACAAAAGTTTGTCCAGGAGGGTCAAAGCAAAAGAATTGGGTGGGAAATTGAGTCCAGGTATGCTTAACTTGAATATTAGAAACCTTACTCAGGTGGGGTCTTGGCCCTGATACAAATGTCCTTTGATAACACGGCAGGTTGGTCTGTGGCTGCCAGAACCAGTCGCATCTTATTGCAGTGAGTTAGTGGTGTAGGATGATGGACTTCTGAAGCTAAATAATAGAGTTCAAGCAGTATTTGGTATCAGGGACTGCTAAGGGGAGAGAGCTGACACAAACACCCAGATATGGGAAAACCTCACTCGGAACTTGTGCCCTCAGAACATACTCCACCTGCAGGATCGCTGTCCTGATGCCAAACAAAGTCTGAAAGCCAAAAAACACCTTTTCTTTCATAGCATCCAACCTCCAACCCCTCCTCTGAGTGCCTGGTAAGGACCGAGCTCTCCCTGCAGCCTCTGCTTCAGGACTAAGGTCTCCGTCCTCTACTGGGCACGGGTTTTCTTAGACATGTGCCTGTGTTTGCAGGGGGACAGATGGGCAGACACATGTATGCACAGCTTCATCCCGTAGGAATCATTCATCGAGGGAACTAAACCAACACCCAGGACGGAGAGAGATCCCCTGCCCTTTAGGCAAAGACAGCGGGTACAGGGATCATGGACTGCAAAGCCATCGCGATCTGGGCCTGTAGCTGGGCAGTGGAGGGGAAGCTTTGCTTTGCAAAATCATTTTTTGATTAGCCAGAGAGCATCTGTCTCTGAAACCATTCATCTAGTGACTTTCACCTCCATTAAATTCAATCAAAAATTTTAAAAAGAAAACTGCCACAGGATAACATTAACATGATTAAAGAATGCACTTCCCAGCCCAGCCTTAAGTTCTGCGGCTGAATTATGCTGGTGAAACAGCAAGAGCACTTGTACCCAGCAAAATGAATCTCCTGTATTCAGAAAGCTGATGAGGGTGCTATTTTGATCTACAATAATGTTAGAGTCGTCTGAGAAATGAACTAGAAATGTGAGCTTTCCAAGCAGTGGAAGTACACAACGATTGCATGTGTGATAATGCTCATAACCCAGCAACTGCCCACTTTTAGTGGAAGCTTGGCCAGGCAGAAATGTCTTGCAACCTGAAATAACAAGAGCAAGACAAAACCATACCCTAGGCTAGAAGCGGAGCTCTTCAGGAGAGAAACAGGTGACATGACTTTTCATCAGAATTTGCTAATTTGCTGGAGAGGAAGCATTTTGCTGATGGATGCTTTTCTGGGAAGCGCTGATTGAAATCAGGTAGGGCGCATTTTGGCCTTGCTAGGCCGGTTCAGAAATCTGGTGGCTTGCCCGTAGTAAGCTGCCTGGTAAGGAACTGGGAGACCGGGTCCAAACTTGATGCTTGCTCTGCGGCATGGACCACTGGACACCCAATTCATTTGCCCTGGGCAGATAGCGAGGCACACTGTGGACAGTGCAATCTATCAAGCTACGTTTGTCTATAAAGATTATGGGGTTTGGGTCAAATGAGGATGAGACCAGATTTCAAAATACCTAAATCCTTTACAAAGTCAGCACTGTCAAGGAGGTAGAGCAGCCCTGGGCACGGTTTTCGTCTGTGCCAACCAGCTGTCTCCTGGATGATTTCTAGACACAGCTCAAGCTTTTGCATGGGTCAGGAGCCACCCATAATAGAAGCATAGAATCATGGAACCATGGAACCATAGAATAGTTTGGGTTGGAATGGACCTCTAAAGGCCATCTAGTCCAACCCCCCTGCCGTGGGCAGGGACATCTGCAACTAGATCAGGTTGCTCAGAGCCCCGTCCAACCTGACCTGGAATGTTTCCAGGGGTGGGGCAGGATCACTTTGGATCTTGGCACCCCAGTTTAGAGGCCAGGAAGGAGCAGCAGCGGAGGCAAGGCAGAGACCCCTGGTCAGGGGGTCTTGGAGATGCTGAGCTTGCTGGTGTTCACAGTAAACCTGGAAGCCATGCACTACACAGCTGCATGATCTGTCTGGACATGAAGTAGACAAAAGCCTTATCTTCACCTTACCTGAGCTTTGCTGAGAATCAGGATACATTTGTTCATGTCCAGAGCCAGGCTAAGAAGGGCAAGTTGCATCTAGACCCAAGGTTGTAGGTCCACATGATCCTGATCTGGATCCAAAGGATTACCATCCTAGGTCTTTGCACTGTGTGCCATTTGTGTGCTAGCTTTTCCCCGTTGCAGCAAGCTGTTTTATGTGAGTAACTAAAGCCACACAGGTATCTTTGCCTTGGCATCATGTAGAAGTTTTATCCTACTGACCACTGCCTTAATACCCCCATGTGGCAACAGGACGTGAATAGAAAGGCTCAGACATTTCACCAGCTGCCATCGTACTAGTACCAGACAAGACTAATTTGTGGATCACTGACCATATTCCTATAATAACTCAAGGAGATTGAATAGCAGAGCTCGCGAGTATTTGTGCTTTAAAAAAAATCCATTCACTTAAAAAGAAAAATCTATTGTGTACCAATTCCCTAGCGGTTCTGCAGACAAATATATAGATTGACTGTGAATTAACACTAACAGGATCTGTAATTGACTTATAGTTCTATTTAGTCATAAACATTAGCATTAATGGATGTTCATGGGGTACAAGTGCTAAAGAACAGACACTAGAGATGGCCTATGTGTTATTTTTTGTGTGCTACATTTCTTCCATGACCCCATGAACCACAATTGATGTCTAATTCCTTGCTTTCTGAAGCATCTTTTGTTAGGCTCTGATGCAATGGTAACTTGAACAATAATTAGAGTATAAGGGACTCACAAAGCAAATGCCTCTTCAGTGTCTTGCCTATCCAGACAAAATTCAGTAAATGGCCCAATTATATTTCAGAGAGTTTCTGCAAAGGAGGTCTGTGGGGGTAGCTCTGCGATGCGGTGATTAGGACAGAGTGTGTTCAGCTGGAAGTCACAGTTCACGTACAGTTCAGGTCAGCAGCAGATGAAGGGAGGCCCAGTCCCTGGCAGGACTTTCAGGGGATGGAATCATTGTGTGGCCACAAACAAGCAATGGGATGGTTCCAGCTCAACTTCACCGTGCCCTACGCCGTCCCCCAGTGTAGGGCTGATCTGAGTCATGGGCTGAAGGTATCTACCCCCTTCCACCGATTGTAGCAGGAGGTGATCTTGGCCATCTCTGATAAATGCCTGAAATGATGCTAGGATGCATCTAGGGCTCTGGGGTGATTTCTTTAGTTCTGGGAAAAAGGCAGAGAAGGACCTCTTTCCTTCACCTGTAATATGTCCTGCCCACATATACTGTCAGCAGTTTGGAAAGGGCAAATGCCCTTTACAGCATCTGGGACGCTCAGGGCTCTCACCCAACGTAGCTGTAGTGATAGCAGTAGTTGTTGTACAACCCTGGGTGGGATTTATCCGGCCAGATACAAATGTCTTTCCTCTAGCCATCTGCTTCTACCGAATCATCTTTCCATCGATAGGGAGAAAAAAAGTGCTTCTGACATGGGATTCATTGAGACTGTTTTAACCATCTATTTTAAAATGAGATAAATCCATGCATGAGTGCTTATTACTCCCCATTAACCAATAGCAAGTCCAAGGTGTCTAGCTCACAGGGAGACACGTAGCTCCGAGGCAGGACAGTTGACTACATTTAAGACTCCAGTGCCATTTTAGATATCCCAGGATATCCCCCTGGCATCCCACTGCCCCCATCTCAAACCCATGCCTCAGTGCCACTAATGTGACTGCAATGGGAGCTTGACACTTGCGCTGGCAACACCTGGGAGAGGTGATCATTCCAGAGCTGAACTCACTCCTCGCACCCTCACTTCGTCTGTGCATAAGAGTGCTAAACCCGTGCAGAAGTGACAAAAGCTCTTGCATCCTTTTACAAGCTCTTGCATCCTTTTACGGGTGCTAACGTGGCTCCAAAACTGCAAAGGAAGATTTGTGAAACAGAATTTTTTAAAGAAGAAGTCTGCAAATTAAAATTGAGCCCATATAGGTAAATTATCACAGATGCAAGGAAAAATTCACAAACCAGGGAAGCCGGGCCAATCCCTCAGACTGCTCAAAATATCTGGAGGGAGGTGGATAGATGATGGTGTGATTGCAGTCTGTAGGGATGGAGAGTATCTGTACGAGGTCTGAGGTTATAAGGCCCTTCTGCCTGTCAGACAAAGGTCTCCTGGGGTCCAGGAGTCAAAGCTAACCACATTTCAGTCCAAAGTTATTACGAACTATACAAAATTACTTTACTATTGTACCTTGCCTTAATATTGAAGAGATTGATCCACTCTCCATCTTTGTGGTGGATTCTCCATCACTGCACTATGGCTAACATGATGGAGT